GGTTCATTTAGGTTCTTTTGATAACGCTAGCAGAAAATAGCTATCGAAACGTCAAGGTAATTTTTCAAATTAATTTCTCTACTAATTGGAATTTTTTCTTACAGCTTGAGCCTAAGTATGTCGCAGGATACCCTCTAGGTGATAGTTCTTGGTTACTTTTTGATAAATAATTCGTTCTTATTGCGGAATAGGAGCACTATTTATCAATCTGTACTAAAAGACGTGAGGAAATTCTGTCTTTTTTAAAGACAACAATTTTTTAGGCGAAATACCCAAAAAGAAGTTTGTAAAAAAATGTGACAATGCTGCAGGGTCTCGGATTTGTCGTCGTTAAAGGACAGTATGATCTTCATTACTTCGCATAAGCATTCCTTCTACCATGTGCTGCTCTTCTCAAATAATTGTATAATCGTTTCGAGAAAATCGTCGAAAAGCCCGAGTGTTTGCGTTGGTAAATGCAGTGGAGTGATTGGGCTTTAACAGTCGTGTCTTCGTACTTAGCCACCTGAGCAAACAGTACTCACGAAACTCATATATACCTAGCCGAGTGGAGATGCTTATTACTGAGCTCAAGTACTGGCCAAATTATAATACAGATCGCTTTAAGCCATCTGTGCATGGTGCATTAGCTCCTTCATGGTTCTTGCTTGCTGAATTGATTGATTCTTTTTTAATCACCTAACTTTTCCTCCACGGATTCAGAAGGGGAGAAGTTTTAAACCAGATTTCAATAAGAACGGTTTGAAACCGCCGGCTTTAGAACATTTTCACATTGTTTCAGTTTCAGCCATTATGTTAACTTTCCTCTTCACCCTACCAAGTGTCTCCATTAGATATTTGCGCTTGCACAACACACGGCAGAAAATGCGGGTCTTAAAAGGTAATTTTTCACTTACTTGAAGTCGATGGACTTTAAGTCCATGGCATTGTAACGTTCTATCTGGATTGCAACTCGCCCATCCATGACCAATCACATAGTAGGGGTGTTTGCAATCCGATTCCACCTGTAAGAAAAAATGTATGTTATTGAGGTGTTTGATGAACTTGTCCGGATAAACCGGTAGAGAATGTGAAGATTTCTGGGATTTTTCGAGTGGCCTCCAAGCGCTCCAGACTTTAATCCACTAGATTTTCCCATTTAATGCCTTCTAAAAGCATGCTCTGTCCTATCGAAGTTCTTTGAAAGTTTATGTATGTATTAACAGGAGTCCTCGACTTTAAGCCATATAATCTCGAAAAAATCGGCGGATGATTTCATTTGTGGTAGTACCAGAGGCCGGCCAGCGCGTGAGTCCTCAGCAGTTTCATTTTCAGTTAAAATACTTGGGTTTAAAGCGCAAAAATAAGTGACTTGATTCAAGAATACGATCCCGTCAAGTACCAAAGCTGTGGTACCTGAAGAGTGCCGATCATCACACATGTTGTGGCATTGTAAAATCTGAGCGAAGCGTGGAATGCCTGGCGTACTTGTAGTAGTACTACGAGACGAAATGGGGTGGGGCGAAGATACCAGAAGGTACCACGTTCGGTACCGGAACGTTGCTGTCCTTGAAAGAGACCAAGGCCCAGTTGATGGTATTTTAAGTTCGTTGTATGGGAAATGGGTTGTCTAGAGTACGGGCATTGTCTTCTGTCGATGCAATTATCTGCTAGATATCGTAGTGCTGGAGTGTTTTCGTTTTACGAAAGGAATTTCAATAGTTTCAGTGGCAAGGGTCAATGCTACCAGGAGCGTTTAGGTTTAATTAATTCGTTCAGAATCTCACATTAACATGCATGGGATGCTTGAAATGCTTCTGGAACTTCAGCAATTTGTTTGAGTTGTTGTTGTATGGGTTGAGCTGTGATTATTCCTAACATTTGCTGGTTTATTTAAATCACAGTCTAATGACGCAAAATCGGGCGAACTTGCCGGCCATTGGGTTTTCACTAGTGGTCGTTTTTGGATTAAATATTGATTAATTTGTTGTAAAGTTAGTGACGTTCTTAAATGGCAAAGTTCTACACTGTTTCTTAAATCAATAATTTAAGTCACGTTTGATGGAAATAATGCTTACGACTAGTCATGTTTTAATGTACAGAAGCTTGGGCGTTTTGGTTTGAAAGCAAGCGTTTGAAGCAAAAAACGATAAAACTGTTTCATTATTG